AACCTTGAATACCTTAAGCCCGGACCTGAACCCGAAATAAACTACTGCTTCAAGGACCTGATAAGGAACTGAGAACACAAGGAATCCTCACCAACTAGGGATTTCCAAGGGTCCAGGTAGACCCTAAATTGTATCTCCCAGCCCTTACGTTCTAGTCAGGACAGCCGCACTTAGGGTACTGCTATAACTTTACCCCGAATATACTTAACCCTAAACCCTAAAGCCCTAAAGCCCTAAAGCCCTAAACCCAAACGCTAAACCCTAAATCCAAAACCCTCACCCCTAAACCCCTCAATCCCCCCGCAGCCTCCAGGACTTGGCGCCAGGTTCAGGTCAAGGGTTCCACTACCAGGGTCCCTTGCGGAAGAGTCGGCCACCAGCCCGTGGAGAATGTGTTTAGGGTTTAGGGGTCCGGCAGTCCAGGCAATGCCACGAAGACCTGCCGACGGGCTCCGAGAATGAAGATTTCCTTGAAACGGCGGAACCGTAGAGACATGATGCAACATGGCACGCTCTTGTGGCGTGCTCGTGGTGCTGCTTGCTTGTGTTGTGGTGACCTCTTGGCTTGGACTGTGTGCATCGGAACTCTGGCCCAGCGCTGGCTCTTCCGCGACTCTTGCCTAAAACTCTTCCCAATCAAGATCGGGTTGCCCTTCTGGCTCTTACCTCCAAAATCCTTTTCCTTTTCTTTGTCTTTCTTTCTCTTTCGTTTTCTTTTGTCTCCTTCAGCTCTTTGGGGTTTCGGAGTTGCGGACTGTGGGGTTTGGACGTCGAGTTTCATGAAACTGAAGGTCTACGTCCCAACGCGTTCAGAAGTCCTCGGCCCTAAACCCTAAAACCCTAAACCCTCAACGCTTTTGGGGCTATGTGGGCGTTTGTAGGTATCCGGTCTCAAGCTTCAACAAAGTCCCCGATCTTCCAAGAACCCCGTGTTCCCTCGAACAGCTCTAAACCCCGCAACCCTAAACCCCTTAGGCCCTAAACCCTAAACTACGTCCCTTAGTCCCTCGAAGCAGGTGGAGAGGGTGGTGAAGGAGGGCTTGAGCCTCCAGCTTTGCGTTCTGGAGTGCCTCGTCCTGGCAAAGTACGTCTCGGCGTCTAGCATGTGATGTACCTCGAAGCCACTCTGTGCTTCTACAAGATTCATCGGGCTGTCGATCTTATCTTTGCACCATCACTTGAACGGGTTGCGCAGGCCGGAAAATGTGGCAGAGCAACGAAGAGGGCACTTTGTTTGCACTTGTTAATGTTTGAATGTGCTAATTGATCACAACGCTATGCCGGATGCAGGCTTCTCGCTTAGGCTGAGCAGGGTGTGTGCACTGAGTTATTCTTGTGGGGTCTGGCTGTGCAGGGCGGTATTGCGGGCCGGCATTGCGGGGCGGCAGCACTTCGGGAGCCCCCGAATCGCGCTCTCAATCGGTCCACGAAAACAGGAACTTGGCGCATTTGGGGAGGGGGGGGTGTAGAAGGAGTGCGGCAGTGTGTGGGATCTCGCTGCGGAAAGGGTGGATTGCAGCAAGAGTGCGGGAAAACCCGGTGCCCCCCTCGTCCAGCTCGCCGGGGTCGGCGGACTTGCAAGCTCGAAGCAGTGAAGCATCAGCTCACCATCGTCGGCATTACCGTGCAGACGGTAACACCACGGAAGAAAGGTTCCATCAGGATTCTGGGTTCGCTCTCCAGTTGCCTTTCAGTTTGCATGTGCCATAACCGTGCCGGGAACAGGAGTTCCAGTTCTCTCCAACGCCGACACAGGCCCACCGACCCTACAGTTTGCAAAGAGTCTGCGCAACGAGTCATTCTTGTGGGGTGGACAGGCCATAGAAGCCGATGGCTGTCCAACGTTACTTTGTTCCGGTGTTCTTCCGGTTATTTGGACATGTGATGACTCATTCCAGCTTGCTGTCTGCAACTACTGTCAGGGCTGAGAATTGCCAAAGCTCATGCAGCATGGCACTCGTTCGCTCCTGGAGCCGCCTTTCGCAGGTATTCCGCAGAGGCTGGCGTCCGCAGGCCAGATGTGCCGTTCGCCTGAAGCCTTGAAGGGCCACAGTAGGAACTCCATGGATCCTCACCCAGCCCATGCCTGCAGAAGCTTGCCTTCGAATCTTTCGAGGATGCGGAGGCAGGATGCGCGCTCGTGGATGTGTTGGACTCCCTAGCTCTTTGCTGGTTGTTCGACTTCATGTCATCGGTGCTTGACACCATTCTGCGCGGGTAAAACGTGTTGAGTACGTTGTCCCGTCGCCGCACGTGACATACAGTGCAGATGGAGACGAAGCCTGCTGTGGGACAGCGAAGGCTTCAGAATGATCGCTTCATCAAGGGTCGATGTTATCCTTGCAAGACATAAGCCCTAAATACGGACTTTTTGAGTGCTGCAGGTCCGCACCGCTACTGAATGCATCACGTGACATACCCAAATAATTAACGCAATACCCTAGAGGTTGAGGTCCCGATTGTGAAAACACCAAGCCCAACGGTCCAGTGGCCATAGCCTCAGTCTTGAGAGGCAGTTTCGGATGGGGGCCACCAGGGGGAGTCTCGATTGCTGCATGAGCTGGTCAAATCAAGTACGAGGCATTAGAATGTCACTACCTGCAATTGCATATGACAGGATGGCGAGGTTTGAAACCGCATGAGTAGAAATCAGGTTGGAATAAAGAAGACAGCTTCGAAGTTAATGACATGCACATGCTTGCTGCTGGACCCGGCAGACAGGGGAGCGTGCAAGTGTCATCAACCATCGCAATGTTGAGAATGACAAGCACCGCAAGGCACCAAAGGCAAGACAGGAACGAGCACCCTCACCTCGGCCCCACCGAGCCAGGCACATCAGGCACCAAGATCATGAAGCGCGAGTGCAGATTCATGAGTTTGTAGAAGATGCCACGTTTAACAGTAACACCATTCCTTGGGGTTCCTTATCATCATACTGGTACCACCACGCCTTGTCCCCTTCCCAACGTAAACGTGAAGACGCTTACAACACGAGCAATCCCGACAGTGCAATTCGAAACCCTTAACCTCAACCTTAAACCTCAACCTTACGACTCAACCTTGAACCTGAACCCTTAAACCCTAAAACCTTTCCAATATCAACTACCCTAAGCCGCAACCATAAACCCCACACCTCAACCCCAAGCCTCAATCTTACCTTATACCTCAACCTTACCTTGTACCTCAGCCTTAAGCCGCGAACCTTAAACTGCAACCCCAAACCTCAACATTCAGCACCAAAACCCTCTACTATAGACCCTAAACTATAGACCCCCTTATTGTAACCCTTATAGACCAGTGATTTTTTGGAACCCGTCAAGGAGCGCGCCGAAGCCACGCTTCCTAAGCCGCAACCTTAAGCTCTACACCCCAACCCTAAACCTCAATCCCGCCTGTGGCGGGAACCCAGAGCAATAGGCACCATTCCCCACCATGCTGCACCTACCGGTCCATACCGTTTCATACCGTTCCATACCGTGCCATACCGCAGCGTACCGTAGCATGCCCTAGCATACCTTGCCGTCAAGTGCATCAAATTACACTACACTACATTACACTACATTAGAGTATGTATCTCTGTCTGTGTGTGTGTGTGAGTGTGTCTCAGGCGTTTCAGGGGAAGAAAGGAGAAGACGGCGAAGGCCAGCTCGATGGGAGTCACAGCTTTTTAGATGCTGGAGGGATCTTAGACGAGGGAAGCGCTTTAGTCGTTTCGGCATGCAATCCTCCGTCTGGGGTTGTGTAACTTCTGGTTCTGGATGGTTCAGGCCTTTGGGCCCAGGTGAACAGAGAACGCATGTGATCTCAACGGTGGTGTCCTCTTGAATGCAGGTCTTGCCAACCCCAAACACGTGAAGCCCGAAGCCTGAAATGCGATAGACCTCGAACCCCTAAGGTCGTGTCTTCTGCTGGAATCTGCAAGCCACACGGAGCGCGAGATGGAGAGAAAAATCGGTCAGCTGCGATGGGGTTGCTTATGGTGGGTTGTAAAAAAGCTGTCTTGCCATGATTGTCATGGTGTGTTTTTGAGTTGAATTGAATTGAGTCGAAAATGGGCAGCTTGCGCAAGAAAGGCGTGTTCGGCATGATGGCTCGGTGGTCACGGTGTTATCATCTAGAAGCAATGCATTGCGAGGTAGAGAGATCTACGCAAAACAGCACGGACAGCATGGAACCAGGGGTGTAAGTACCAAATACTGTATTCAACGATTCAGGATACAGAGGCCATCTGGAGCGCCTCGTAAAACTCGGAGTGACCATTCGGCCAGAAGAGCGTCCCACCATGCAAGTCTCGTTCGGAAGCTTCCAATGTCAACCAAGTTGTTGCATGGGACATGTGCTACTGGCAACTGAGACCTCAAGCGCGTCTGGAATCGCATTTTGTGGCGTGGCGGCAGCATGCTTGGCAAGTAGCGCCCGACAGCTGCCTTGCCGCTGCCCGTGAGTACCAAGTGGGCGAAACGCGTGCTAGGCTGCTTCGATCCTGAGCACCAGCCGAACAAGATCAGGGCACGGCTCTGCTTGTGCCAAGTTGTTGCGTGCTTGTCTTTGGAGATGTGTGGCTACTAGAGTCGGTGCTAGAGCTAGAATGCTGTGCCATCTCTCGTAGTGCTTCGTGGCAGTTGCAGTTGCTCTGAAATGTGCGTGTTCGTGTGTGCAGGATCCTTAGGCTTGAGCAGGCATATGCCTGGAATCGAAGCAGGGCAAGTTCGGAGGTTGAGGCGTGGTTTGCGAAGTTGCAGGACCCCCAGGCTTTAGGCCGACGGATGCCGCAGCAGCTTTGTGTGCTGCATCGACTTGTTGCCTGCCGTTTCCTAGCACGGGAACCCGATAGAGGAAGCATATAGAGGCCGCAGTCAATCCTCACTCGGCGACCTTTGCCAACTTTGCCAAGACCCTCCAAGCATCAGATGAGATCGCGACAGTCTCCACTCAGAGCTATGTTACCAGCTGCGGCCGTCCGAGCTGTTGCGGCGTGGGTGACCCAGGCTGAGCTCGAGATGATCGCGTTGGCTTTGTGCATTGATGTGCATTGTGGCCGAGGAATGCAAGAAGCTTCCCCGGAAGGGTGGACGGCGCTGCCTCGGCCTCTCTGCTGCCTTGGGAGGTTCGCCGCAGCTGATTCTTCCAGAGCCTAGGTCGTTCTCGCAGCGGGGTCGCTTCGGCAAAGACGAGGCGCCGTGTCTCGGAACCTGGCCGAAATCAGTGCTCTCGCATCCTGGCATCAGGACGGCTCTTCCGAGACCACCTCGGAGGCGTCAGCTTTGTGTCACCTCTTCTTCGCACCTCTTGTCGTATTTCATAAAAATCTCAAGAATCTCAAGATGCCAAGGACGAAGGTGGGCTGTGGGCTTACCTCCAAAGCGAGGATCTCGCAGCGTCCGCTGCGGCGTCTGCTGCGAGCGCCTCGAAGGTGCGGTGGCACAGTTGGGCCATCCCTGCACCCGAATTGGAGCCACGGCAGCTACGGCTGCGGGCTTTTGGTGTTTGTGTGCGCTGAGTACGGCAGGCTGCCAAGACGAGACCCCGTGCCCGCGAGTGGGCCCACGAGGATGATTGGGATGTTTCCGGGCCGCTGCCTTGGACCGCTTTGATTATGAGCTTTCTGCCCAGCAAGACTTTCTTCCCCTGAGGTTTCAAGCGGAGGTTCCTGAGCCCGCCTTGCACTTTCCTTTCGAGCTGGATCCGCGGCCCCGGCCGATTACTGCCACTTAAGCGTCGTGTTTCGGATCTGCACTTGCAAGCTTCCTGGAGGTTTCAGAAGCGTGCTGTCCGCAGGGTGGAGCGGAGCGAGACGCGAGCTTGGTACTGCGTACTGCCTGCATGAGCATCAATCAACAAGCTCCAGCAGCCTGCCTTGAAGGAATCGCTGTGCCAGCGTAGATCCCCAAACAGCGATAGAGCACCACGACGATCATGACGACCGCCAGGACCACCAGGACCACCAGGACCACCAGGACCACCACCCCGCCGCGACCACCACCTGTGCCACCACTGGGACCTGCCACCACCACGATCACGACGGTGTGTACCACACTGTTTGGGACCAGTTCCGGTTTGCTTTACTCGCCGGGTGCCTGGTATACGATATCGCCAGAAGCCAATGTCACGGACCGAGGCATGTCATGGTGGCAGCGCACACTTCTGCTGGCAAAACTGCCTGGAGCTCGGAGGACTCGGAGGACTCGGAGGATGCTTTTTTTGATCAGTTGAACTCTGGCATACCGGCCAACCCGCAGTACTGTCAGGTCGTGGCAGAGTATGCGGTGGCGCATGCGCTGCGCTTGGGCATGCGGACCATCTATACATCTCCGATCAAGGTGGGAGCAGGATGCTGCACGCGCGTAGTGGGAGGGCTCCAGGCTTCCGTGTCCCCAGGCACTGTCCAACCAAAAGTTTCAGGAGCGCGGACCCCAAGGCACCAGGCTCCAGCAGTTCTTTGTCTAGAAGTTGCCGCCGCACAGGTTCACACGGCGTTTTGAGGGCCTGGGCTCGGTGGGCATCGCCCGAAGCCCGGAGTAGGGTGAGTAGCCAGCGTGCTACGGCTGCTGCGGAGTTTGGGACGCCAGGTCACAGGCGACGTGACGGTGAACCCGGAGGCCCAAACCCGCAGGGGAGCCGACACCCCCTTGGCCCCTTTCCCTTTTGCAATTCCCGGCCGAAAGTAGCAGCCCGGCCAAGCTTCAGGGTTTTGCTTCGAAGGCGAGCTGTGTCATCATGACGACGGAGATTCTTCGTGCTAGACTCGGCCCAGGAACACATTGGTGCAAGTGCGACTCCAGCTGAGATGGTGTGCCCTGAAGTACGGTACAGAGCAGCAGGCGAGACGGATACTCCCAACCAAGGTTCCGGAAGCAGCCGAAGTTCACCCTAAACCCCAAACCCCGAAGCTCGATAGAGTGGAGCTTTGAACCGCGGCGCGTGCGTCCGAGGATCAATGCTGTATCGAGGCGACAAAGGCTTGAACCAGGCTCCCCGGAGCCTTGAGGGTTTCAGTTTTTGGGTGCTCGCAACTTACGAGCTAAAGTGGGGGTATCGCTTTGAGTTTTGAGGTCTGCCGCGTTAGCCGTGCTAGTACTGCATGGGCTGTGCACCAAACTTATCATGAGTTATCATGTCTCGCAGCCTAGAAGTCACCACCGAAGCGCGTCCGGGCAGGGTCCGTAGTACTCCGGAGTCTGTGAAAGAGAAGCATAGGGCATGAGGGCTTGATTCTGGATCCAGCTTGGACAGGTCAAGTGGGTCATCTTCGACGAGGCCCGGCTTGCAAGCTCCACTCTTCCCTGTGTATGGCGGCTCCGGATGCGTCACTAACCGTCTGAATCACTGGAGGCTTAAACGAAGGTTTGCCGCACATGACGGCTGAGAGGTTCCTTACATGCCAATCTCCGCTCACCTGTTACATTCTCTCGTCTAGCGATGGTTGGTATAGCATGCAGCGGTTTTCAGATCCGTTTTTCGAGCCTGGTGGCATAGCTCCCGAGAAAGCCATGCCACGTCGCTGCCATTGGGTCTGTGTGGATCCATCTGGGACCCAAAGGGCTGAAAAAAGGCCAGTCTCAGGAGCCGCAGCAATTTCGGGCTGATCAGAGTGGGCTTTTCTCGAAGGCTCGCAGAGATTTCGGAGTTTTGGCCCTGCCGCAGCTCGTGAAGAGAGGCATTCTGAGGTGGTGCGGTAGGCCGGTGGGTCTTCCGAGGAGAACGCCCGGAAGGCACTTCGACAGCAGATCGAGAGTTTTTTCTCTCCCTCGCAGATCCCCGGTGACATCTACCTCCGCTCCCTCATGGACGCCGAGGGGTGGGTCGGAGTAGACCGAATCCTGCAGTCTGTGCATTGAGTGCACAGTGTGGAGCCCCGGGTTCCATTTCGGCCGTGCTGCGGTTGCTGATGGTCGCTGCGGCTGCGGAGCTCCCAGACCGTGCGGCACCCAGAACTGGCACAGAGGGCTCTCTGGTTGAAGTTGTAGGACTCTGCTGATCTCTGCTGTGCATTGTCATAAGTCGGGGGAAGGCCTCTGCATCCTGAGAGACACTTCCAGGGTTTGATGGGTGCACGGGTGGGTGTGGGCAGGGAGGCTTCTTTTCGTGAAAATCTTGGCTTTGCAGAGCGATGTGAAATATTGCGACATGAACGAGGAAAAGCTTGGCTCCGACCGAAATGCACTTTACCTTCTCCATGTCGCCTTTCCTTTGATGGGAACTCTTTGGTGGCCGCGGCTGCCCGTGCTTCTTGCTCTGGCTGCCCAAGGCACCTCGGCAGATTGCACTGCTCACGGGGCTTCGTTGCTGCAACTCGGAAATCTTCCTCCGCACGGCCCTTGCCTTAACGTGCAGGGCTTCAGCTGTGGATCCGAGAGAGCTGAAGTCGGCTCGGGCTCGCTGGTGGAAGTAGCTCCGCAAGCGTGCCCTCTGTGTCCGAAAAGCGGTTCCGCATCTGCAGTCCTTTATGGGATCGAAAGAAGCGATGGACTCGGGGAGCGCGTGTATCAACTCCTGACCTACTTCTCGACGGCAGCCTTGTACAACATGACCTTCGGTGGCTTTTTGTTCAATCAATCCCTTGACGGAGGACACAAGATGAACTCGTCGGTCCTGGTTCATAGCCTGTCCACGTACATCGGAAGCAATTATTCCAGCTTGCGAGTCAGCGCCGAACGACCCGCTTTCGACCATTGCTGGCGCTGCCTGGAGGATCCTTCCACCCCTCCGCCTGCTGCACGGCCGGGGCAGTCGATCCTCGCTTGGTTGGGATGCAAGCCGATGCCGGAGACGGGCGTTTTTGGGCCTCTGAACGCAGGATTTCTCAAGGCAGTGAGGCAGTCATCCCAACTCCTGAGTCGCCCGGTGCCGCATTTTTCTTCGGGGGCGACCCTCCGTGTTGCAGTGCATCTCCGGCGCGGAGATATCATGAAAACTACCTTGGGTCATGGCGTGAACCGCTTTATTCCCGACTCGTTTTATTTGAAGTTTCTGCGGCTGCTGAAGCCTCTAGTCGCGCCCGCGAAGATTCACGTGTTCTCGGCTACAGAAGGGCTGTTCACCGATGCCGACTTCGACGATTACCGGCAGCTCGGAGCCCAGGTGCACCTGGACGGCGAGGCCGTCGAGGACTGGGCTCACATGGCTCAGGCCGATGTTCTGGTCGTTGCACCCAGTGGCTTCTCCTGGGTTGCTGGCATCCTGAACTCAAAATGCGTGCTGGGCTTTGAGTCCTATCCTTATGCATACCATCCTAACTGGATCAAGCTGAACCAGCACTTCAGCAATCTCGAGGAGCTTCGCAGCTGTCTTCTCAAACTGAACCTGTCATGACGGGTTTGCCGCAAATCGTGCGAGAAAAGGTGCCTGTCATCCTGGGAGGCTCTCAGCTAGAGGAGCCGGAACTCTTTCAAGGGGGAGCTCGGGGTGAGGTTCGGAGTCTGATCGGCTGCAGCCTAGTTGCTGCTTAAGCTTTTGTTCTGCTGCGTTGTGTGGCTCAAGAACAGTAGAATCCCATTCATCGTTGGAAGGATCTCCTGCCGTTGCCTCTGCCTTTGTTGGGGCTTCGAGACGGGCATGAGTTCTGCCTGCCTTAGGAGCCTCCGCGATGTTCAAAAAGCGGGAGAGGCCGAAGGTGGCGCGAAACCGTCGAACTCGAAGCCCTGCACATGCAAGCTTCTACTGGCCTTCCCTGAGACGAGGACTTTTGTAGGTTGTTCGGGTTTGTTGCGTGTTTCGACCAGGCCACCCGGACGAAGGAAGCGGAGGAGCCTGTGGCGGAGGAGAACTCTGCGGTGCCTCTGGCCAGCAAGAGGCCAGCAGGGCAGCGCCGGACCGGGGCTTGCTGTCAATCCTTCGGGACGGGGCCTAGCGAGGCAGAAGCGTAGTGGTGCCATCAGCTCGACGACTGGCGAAGGTTTCCTGGCAGCACGGGGAGATACGGGGAGATTCAAAATTCAAAATGCATCGCTTTTGAATCCAGTTGCCTTGCGATGTTTATTTTTTTGTTTCAGCTGAGGTGGCAGCATTGCTGCCTCCACACGCAAGGAGCCGATGTCAGAAGCGGCTCCTTTCCAAGAAGCAGTACTCAAATGTTTAGAGACGAAGTCGAATTCTTCAACGGTGCACGCACGAGTACGTAGCATGCAAGCGGCCATGGAAACAGTCGTTAGAGACGCCGAGGCGCGAATAGCAGACCGGCAGCAAGATGCAGTGTTCTCCGGCTTCAAGGCCCGCAGAGTGTGAGCTTCCCACCTTCCCTTTCGTGGAATCTCGGGCTTCGCGCGAGGCGAGTGGCTCTACGGAGAACACGTCCGCAGCTCAGCCCTACTCGAAACTCCTCCAAGGCGGCAAGGCAGAGCACTTGAGAGGCCCTCCTCCGATGCAGTCCGACGACTGGAGGTGGACACGGACGTCAGTAAGGGCCTTAAGGGTTCTGTTAGGGGTTCCTTTAAGGGTTCCGATGGGGGTTCCTTCGAGGTTGCGGAGAGCCCTTTAAAGAGTGCTCAGCGGTTTTCTCCTCTGGGTCTCGGAGCCGTTCTCTGAGGCAATGACAACAGGGCGATCCTAGAGCGGAACGAGAAGATTAACCAGGGCCTCAAAGACGGCTCCCTGGAAAAGGGCGTCTACAGAGGCCTGAAGGGCTACAAGCCGCTCGGAGCTTCTTTCATCTTTTGGATCATCTGTAGAGTAAAGGCAGCAGGATCCTAGCAAAATGGCATTTCCCAGGCAGTATGCCAATAGAAGCGAGCACGCCATCGCCAACTCCAAGTACACGGGTCTTCTAGGACCCTCCGTGTGGCTCTCCTTGGGATTGAGCTGGCACAGTGTCGGCTGCTCATGGCTCGTCAGAGCGCTTTGCGGGTTCAAAGGTCTCTTTGGTCTTTCGCCATCCCATGCCTGCAGCGTCATGGTACGACAGGCTGCGCATGCTGGTGAGGACCACTCCGCAGCAGCCTGAGCAACGTGCGCAGCACGTTGCGGATCGAGTACATCGGCACCAGCGGTGAAGGCACTGCTTGCGCTTTCAGTTCCGCCAGCTCGTTGTCTCCATCCCTGGCCCTGTAAGGTGGTATCTGCAAAGACTACAAGGAAACTGGCTACTGCGGCTTCGGCGACTCCTGCAAGTTTGCACACGATCGGCTGCTGGCCTTCAGAGTCCGTTCTCAGAAAGAGAAGGGTACAGTCGAAAGTCGGCACACGATGCCATCCCTGATGCCAAATTGAGATTTAGGATCTGGTATAGTGCTGCCTTGATCTGGCAAGGGTCTGATGTTGCGTGGCTTCTATCGATTCCTGTCGGGGAAGTTCAGGTCTGATTACAAACCGAGCTACATCCTGGAGCAGGAGTGGGAGGCCAAGCAGAAGGCCGAATTCGACCACCTTCTGTTCTTATGCGAAGAAATTGATATGCTGCTTATTGTCTTGTCATCGGTTTGGAATTGAATCTCCCACAAGGCAATCGAAGAGAAGAGGCGGAAGAGGTGGGAAAAGAAGATGGCGAGGCCTCGGGGCAGCTCGCGATTTCCAAGAACGCTTCCGAAATGATGTAGTACGTAGGTTAGTTAGAGTATAGTCGTACAGTGCACCACGGTGTAGCATAGTACAGTACTTTATGATTTCATGATACAGTATATCATACGCTGAGCCCTGCTTCACTGCTTCCCCTCAAGCCTTCCCCGAGTCCTAAACTCCAAAACCCCACACTAACGCGAAGCGAAGAGCCCGAAACCTTATCCTGGGGTTTCTCTCAGGAATGCGTGTTCTTTTGGTTCGGTACATCATTTTACGGATCGAGCAGGCATGTGTTTTGTTGGTGCCTGGGCAGGTGGAGCCAAGCACCTAGCCACCTCTGCAAGATTCTCGGGCTCAAGACTTTTCCGAGATGAATCAAGATCAGCTGTTCGAAGCGGTGCGTGATGGCAACTTCACAGAGGCCAAAGAGGCACTTTCGAAGCTCGACGTCAGCTGGCGTCACAGCCAGCTGAAGCAAAATGTGCTTTCTTCATCGCTGCGCGGCAGTGCAGGGGGAGCCAGATTTTAGGCAGACGCGCTGTGCGGATGGGAGTTGACCTAGCGGAGGTAGACCTCAACCAGCAAACGCCACTCTTCTGCGCAGCGGCTTATGGAAATCTGACAATTGTCAGATTTCTGCTGAATCTTGGATACCATGTCAACTGGCATGACAGCTGGAGGGAGACGGCCTTATTCTATGGTATTAATTATTCACACATGGATGTGGTGAACATCCTTATCGAGCATGAGGCCTCACTGCTGGTCAGATCCAAGCGAAATAACCAGACTCCACGGAAGCTGCTGAAAGCCCAGAGCCGGCACGTGCCCGAGACTAGGAAGCGTCCACGGCCTTCTCCCACACCTCAGAGCTCGCGTCCTGCTGCCGCAGCAAGGAGCCGCTTAGCCATCTTTGAATGGCAGACGGAAGAGAGCATGCACGAGCCGATCATAGAGAAGTCGCAGCACAACGTTGGAGAAAATCAGGAACACTGGGTGTGCGAGTTTGTCAAGGACCGTGCCAAGCGCTTGCGACGTTCATAAAGAGAGTTTGCAGTGGACCATGCAAACCTGCATTCAGAAATGCCTTGGTACGAAAACCTCACTGCAAAGGACGCAGCAACTCTAGTCGGTGTGGTAGTGGATGACACGGCCGAGGACAAGCATGTGGCGTGGATTGAGGAGCTGGCAAGCGCTTTGAAGCCCTCCTCGTTCACACTAACGGCCGTGTCGCAAACGACAGCTATGTTACAGGCTACGTGTATGCGAAAATTTGAAAAGCAGGAGCTCACGATCGGGCCGGTGAAGGTTGACCGCGGGCACCAGGGCAAAGGCTTAGGCGGCCTTTTGCTTCAAGCCGCAGAGAAACGTGCAAGAGGCTTTGGATTCTCGTTTTGAAAGATAAATCTGAGTGTATTGGAGACCAACGAGAAAGCACGAAGGTGCTACACAAAAGCTGGCTTCAAGGTCTCCGCATCGGCCCCATCCTGCTTCCCACCATGCAGCTGCCATGATGACGAATGTCAGCATGCAAAGATCAAGTGGCTCAGTACGCACAAATGCACTTGTTGATGGCAGTATGTCATAGTTTCACCTGACCACTGCAGGATGCGAAGGAACGCGCCGTTTGCTTCATATGGCTCTGGTCCAGCACGTTTGCTCATGCCAAGAGGGACACTAGCACAACAGTCACTGTAAACGGATCGCGGATGTCTGCACCCAGCCCGAAGGCAGGCCTCAGCTGCGTAAGGGCCTGCTGCACTTCATGCTTCATCCTGATTACAGATTTTTCTAATTCATCAGAGGGGCTCTGGCTTCTGCTAAGAATTGAGCATCTGCGAACCCTAAACTCTGAGCCCGTCGGAGGCGGAAGCAGGCAGAGGAAGAGGGCCGAGAGGTGGAGTCGGATGACGATTCCTCGGAGCCTCGTCGGAAAGATGCGGCGAGCACTTGTGGCGCAGGATTTAGGTTTGGGGTTTGGGTTTAGGGTTTCAGGGTTTGGTAAGCTTCAAGGTTTAGTAGGAGTTCGTGGTTTGGGGTTTGGGGTCTCGCATTTTATTTTGGAGGTTGCCTTGAACCATTAACCCTAAACCCTGAAATCCGCGTCCCAGATCTAAAGCCTAAACTCGCCCTGAGACTCTAACGCCAAACTCGAGGCTTCCTGTTGAACTGGCCCTCGGCCCTCGATATGCTCAGCCTGATTTGAACAGGCTTAAAAGTTTAAAAATCTCCAAACCCCAAATCCTCTACATCCAAGCTCTTGGGGGCTTGGGCTTTAGGATTCTGAACCCGAACTTTTTAAATTTCTGTAGTGCAGTACGGTATACTGCAAACCCCTTGAAGCCCTTGCATCCCCTGTGCTCGTTGTGGTGGAGCTGAGATGACGAGCGATGCGACGGACGATGAGGAGGAGCTACCCACAGAGTGTTTTGAGTGTGGCGCCGCCTGTCGGCAGCTTCTTGCGGTACGGAAATATCGACGAATCTGAGCTCGAGGGAGTTTCAATGTGGTGCAGGGGCCACACAGCTCAGGAATCCTGGCAGCGGTGCACAAGCATTCCCGTCCAAACTGTTTGTGGCCACTACTTCTGTGAGGTGGGATGCTAAAGTTTGTACCGAGATGACCTGCAGGGGATCGTGCTTGAGGTTTGCCGTGCTTTGCTGCGAGGCTTGCGCGATGGCGGCATTCGCGAAGTCCGACAAATGCATCAGGCCCTCGGACTGTTGATGTTGTATCAACCCCGAACCTTGAACCCCAAGTCTTAGACTCTGGTTCAGGTGTGGGGCGAAGACCAACGGCATCTTCAACTCCGTGCCTTGGCAGAGAGGGCACTGGGACGCCATCCCTGTTCTTGGGCGGAGCCAAGGCGGACTCGCTCCAGGAGAAGCTGAAGGCTCCACGGCCGTAGGGTTCAGGGTTGAGGGTCTTTAAATACAAGGAGATACATGCATCGAAGGACACTCAGGACACGATGGATGCACGTTTCCAGCTCGTGCCTTTTGGAGAGTGTTCCATACTTCTCAGGTTGTTTAGGCCTAGGGTACTGTGCGTGTCGGGAGTCAGGCGAAGAAGGAACGCCGAGCCGAGCGGAAGCGAATGAAAGCCACGAAGAGGAGGGAGGCCCGGGCCCCGTGTGACATTTCGAGCTTCAGCGGACTCTGCACATTACTGGCAGAATTTTGTTTCAACAGCCACCGGCAGGCTCAGAACACCTTCGGGGTGAACGTGGAAGGAGGCAACCTTGTCTGACCTTCGCCTCCTTCGTGCCGTGTCCTCGTTGTGGTGCTCGAAGCTAATGGCGGTGCGCGCGGGCTCGCGGCAAAAGAGGTGCTGACTGCAGCTAAAAGTGCTTGGCAGTCGGGCCTCACCCAGGCTTAGCGTGATGCGAGCAGGTAACATGAGCTGCCCGCATCACTTGTACAAAGTTGTCCCGACGCGTCTCTTAAGCCGTTAGGGAAAAGGTCTGTTGTCGCTGCCGGAATCACACTCATGTGGATCTCGTCAAGCAAGACACGATATACTACACTTCGTAGGGCTTTGGATCCAGGCACAACCTATAACATAACAAACAAGCTAGGTATTTTTTGGGTCCACTGCTCAACCCTCAAGCCTGAAAGCCCAACGCCGTAAAATCTAAAACTAGAAGCCCCCGCATGATTCAATTTCTCAAACCAAGCTATCCACCCTAAGCCCTCTCCCTCCCTCCCTCCCTCCCTCCCTCCCTCCCTCTCTTCATCCCTCCCTCTTACTACAGAGCACAAAGTATGAGTCCATGGTCTGAAGGAATAGAAAAACCCAATGTATGTTCATATACACATATTGCAAATAATCACCACTTCCAGGTAGTTTCATTACGCACAACAAAAGATCAAACAACATGACAGACACATAACATCATGTTTGAGTCGATTCTAGCATACTTTGAAGGAGTTTTTTTTTCGAGATTTTCGAGGGTTATCATAAGATACAGGAATATGGAATGATACGACAGAAAATTTTACAGTGGCCACTTTCTGCATCGACAACCCTGCACCTGGGGCTGCTCCACCAGTGTCTTGCTGTGATATGTTATGTTCTGTTGTATGTTGTATCACATGTCAGATATGCAAAGAGTTTGCAGATACATGAGTTTGCAGATACAGATAATAGACATGGAGATGGATGTAGATATAGATATGCGTAGAGATACAGACATAGATATAGATATGGACATGCATGAATGTGTAGGTATGCACGCATGGAGCTCTGAATGCACACATAAATGGGTTCTTATTTTCTTAATGCATTCGTACGTATGTAGAAATGCAGGATATCTCATTTCCCCCCCTGTTGTGGGAGCTGGCAGAGTCGCTTCCCAGGTCGAGGATGCGCTCGGAGCTGAAAGCTGGATCTGCCACCTGAAGTTGCGCGCGATCTCCTGCTTTGGGCAGGAGCCGAGGGAGCCGAAGTCCAGGGGCTGTAGGCGACGGGGAGAGGTTTTGGAGCTTTTAGTCATAGTGACAGCTAGGATTTTCAGGTTTGGGGTTTGGGCCTTTCAGAATATTCAACACACCCACCAGGATTTGGGAGTTAAGGATTTTGAGCCCACAGCGCTTGCGACCACCTCCATGAAGGATTGCAGCAGCCCGTCCTGTCAAGGCCGGGAGCATGGAACGGGCTGAAGCAGACGTGGAACCCGCTACGCAGAGATGCCCGTTGTGTATTCTCGTCTGGCGTGCTTGGCTGGTGCTCTGATGTTCGAGGGGCGTGCCCAAGGCGATGTCTGAGTGTGGACAGTGACAGCGCCCCTGCTGGTCAAAGCAGTAACGGATCCGCGCATCCAGTTTGCCACGGTTTTCGGGAAAGCCAGGATGGCAAAATGTGGAGTTGTGTTGACGCAAGTCGCAGCAGATTACGTGCTGCAGCACTGGCGGCTAGCGTCGTATTGCTGGGATACCGTTTTGTTCCATGGCTCACAGAGCTTCAGCGGAGCTCACGCGCTGTCTTTGGCCGGGCACCGTTCGTCTGCACGGAGAATTCGACGTGCTGTCCAGAAACGGACCATGGGATACCTGTAGTAGAGCTTCGGACAAGATGCATGCGCTTCCTGCATGCGAAAGAACATCTCTGTCTTTCTGCGCCTGCTGCTGTATTCTTGCGATATCCCAAATCCCAGCTTCATCATGATGATCCTGGGAGCTCCTGGAGCCCTGTAGCAAGGAGCTGTCTACGTGCTAGTGCTGCTAGCTGATCCTGCCAGTTCTTCCCAACCACAGGTCTAATCACGGTGTTTTCTCTGCTGCATTTTGCACTGCTCTGCCTTGTCTTCTCTCCGTGCTGCGGCGCAGGTGCACTACGTCAATGACGCTGATCGCGGGGTGGTATGGGAAGAGGTGATCATCCTACTGCCACCGGAGGCGAGGATGCTGCAAACGGCTGCTGAGATCATCGCTTCACCCATCTCCTGACACCAGGTGTCTATTGTGATGCTCTCAGCCTGGGCCTCCCTGCTTCAATCCCCACCGGGGTGCCCGAGTTTGCATGGAGGCCACGGTTCCGAACTACCGGGACTTTGCCGGCTGGGTCGGCAGGACGAAGAAGAGTCCTGTGTGCGCCTGGTTGCCAGAGTGAAGTTATGAATCTTGTTAAGGGGACCTTACTGTAACCTGAAACGATGCAGCCTGTAGGCATAAGTTTGCAAGAGTGGCAGGTACACTGTACATACAACTTATCGGCCAACCCCACTGCGCCGAGTTCTCAGCAATCTTCAGTATTTTCTTGGTGTTCGTTGTTGCCAGCAGTAGGGCTAGCTACTGCGGTTATCTCATCGTAACCTGTCACAATCAAGACCATCATGTCGCTCATGATGTGCATGATGATGATCATGTTCTGAATGTCGGCATTGATATTGGCAAGTTGCGATGGTTAGCATCATTGCTTTAGTGTGTGAGCGTCTTGTGGTTCAGCGGTGCTGCACCTTCTGCAAGAATGCATAAGTGGGATCTATCAGTGTTGGCATTCAGTCAGGAGTGCTTGCGTTGTGATTGTTGGCTTTTATCCTGCGTGAGATCGCAGTTGAGATTGCGATGATCAGGTCAGGATCCAGGGAATCCAGGGCTGGGATGTCTAAGGACACTTTCTCAGCTTCCGCGGTCATGTCCTTCCCCTGATGAATGATGAGGGGTCGAAGGCTCAGGCAGCATCGCCGGTGCGGGTGAGCTGCGATCCAGATTTCTATGTCTTTGCCCTCCTTGTCCCAGCTGGTTCGAAAGCATCAGGAGCTTCCTATGTAGCACCTGAGCTTTGCATCAGCCCTGTCGGCGTGGAGAACATGCCCGGCCCGCAGCCATATTGGCTGGAGCATCATCATTGCATCAGCAGAATCAGTCTGCAGCACTCCCCGAAGCCTACGTGCTACCCAACATTCCAGCCACCTTCTAGTATTGAGTGCTTGCACATCCGAGTTGCTTGCTGGTGTTGGCCACAGCCATGGAGGCCAGGTGGCTTAGGATTCTCACTTTCATGCCATTTCCGAAGCTCCTCCCTCTCCTCAGGGTAAGATTGAGACCCGAGTCATCGACGGAAAGGCCGTCTCAGCGGAAGCCGGGCCCTCGGAAACTTCGCACGTCCGCGGCCAGGTGATGTCTCTGAGCCTCAGGTCCGAGCCGAGGTGAAGGCCCTGACCGCCTCCCGGCGGCAAGAGTCAGGGTATTTTTCAAGGTTAGAGTAACTGCAGTAGTGTTTCGGGCGCTTCAGGTGTTTAGGGAAGTTTAGGGTGTTAAGCCTAGGGTTTGCAAGGTTTAGGCTCGAGAAAGCAAAGGGGAGAAGGATCAGAGCTTGCTCCTGGCTGATCCCAGGAGCAGCTGAAGCAGGAACATGCTGTGGTGCCGGGCCTCGCCATGATCCTGGTCGGCGAGAGACCAGACTCCAAGAGCTATGTGGAGATCTCAGCATTTTAAGAACTCTAGGGTTTAGGGTTTAGGGTCCTAAACCCTAAACCCTATCCTGCTCTTCTCTCGTAGGCTCCCAGCTGCAATGATCTTCGCCCTGCCTCGGGGTTTTCTGTGGCAGGTGGCAAACAAGACGAAAGCGGCGAAGGAGGCAGCTCCCTCATTCATGGAAACAGGGGCCCAGGCTAGCAGCCGATGAGTCACGAGGATCTGGAGCAAGGATCAGCAGTCATCATCATCATCATCTTATCCTCTAATGTATATAATTTATAACATAATAATATTATAATATAATATAATATAATATGATATGATATAATCCTCGAAGCCTTGGGAGGTGGATTTTCATGTCGTGGACGTCCACCTCGCCGAGACCGTCACCCAGGAGGCTCCGGAGGGCGAGGGCTCAACATCTCTTCACGCGCCTGCTGCTCTTCTGATTCTTCTTGCAGCTTTTGCCCTAAACCACAAAAATCCCTAAACTGAAACAACGGGGGATGCTGACTCGACATGGAGCCTGGAATGCAGGGTCAGGCCTACACTTTATGTGGTAGCTCCCTGGAGGAGCTCCTGGCCGAGTTGAAGAAACTAAACGACGACCCCAAGGTCGCTCGATGAGAAAACGCGTTTCTGGACGCCGCAGTGCCAAAGTGACTCTTGTTAGGTACATGGCATCCTGGTGCAGCTGCCACTGCCAGAGCACATCAACGAAGGAACAGTCCTGAAGCACATCCGGGTAGACAAGGACTCCCCTATTTTCTGACTGCCCCTTCCTCTTGCGCTTTGCTTCTGCTTCGTGAGGATGCTGACTGCTTCGCGGCCGAGAATGTCGGCGGCTTAGAGAGGTGCGCAGATCCCGCTCAGCGACCGCCAGCCACTTCGTTGAGGGTTTAGGGATGTCTAGGGGCTATGGTTTAGGGCTTGGCGCGATGCAAACTCGCAGACAGAGACTCCCGCTGTTGAACCGGCTTTGATTGTACGAGGTCGGAAACCTTTGTCTAAAAGGTGGAGACCCACCCTTGGCTGCTCCTCGACCGCATATTTATTTATTTATGTATCCATGTATGCATCTATGTATGTACGTATGCATGCATGCATGGATGGATGTATGTATGTACATGCGTATGTATGTATATACATATAACACACACACACATATATATATATATACACACATACATATGTATGTATATATGCATATGCATATGTATATGTATATGTATATGTATATGCATATGCATATGTATATGTATATGTATATGTATATCTCTATGTGTATGTATATAGTTATCGACGAAGTATATGCAGTAGAGGTTTGAGATAAGGCCGCAATTCATGCCGAGTAGGGTTTGCTCAGGTACCCTGCACGCCTGCGGGCTGCGTTGAGCTTCTGCAGCGCAGTCGTGTCGACGTGTGTGGCAAGTCGGTGGTCATTCTTGGCAGGCCAACCTCAATGCTGGCATGTCTAGCACCGGAGATCAATTCCGAACATGAGACTCGACTGCAGGTCGAATCTTGTTGGTATGCCCATGGCGCAGCTGCTCCTCTCCATGGATGCCACCGTCACTATCTGCCACTCCAAGTCCCAGGATGTTGCACAACACCTGCGAGGTGCAGACATCGCCGCCCGGCCTGGGATGTCTGAGATATCGTGATCTCGATGACCCTGGGCCCAGCTATAGCGTAGTCCTAGAAATCCGAGGTCGTCGCTGCCATCGGCCAGGCACAGTTTGTGCGTGGTGGCCTCAAAAGGCCAATACTTCCCATCCTTTGGTTTGCTCATGGCGCCCTAGTCCTAAGCCCCACGCCTCTTGGCCTCTTGGGCTCAACATCAACTTGTTCCCAGGCGGAGAGTGGTTGAAACCGGGCTGCGTCGTCATCGACGTCGGCATCAACTCAGCGACTCAGCTTTGGCACAAGGGTAGTTTCCACAGACTAGAGGTCCCCTGTAGTTAAGCGTTAAGCGCTGGACGGGTTCTCATATCCTACTGCTACAGTGCAGGGATTATACGTGGATTTTTCTAATCTTCTGAGACTCATGTTCGTACCTTCCTGGCCGTCACCTTGCAGGCTTCGCACGGGAGCTTGCATGTCTCGTTCGTCTTGCTTACCGAGGTGGATGATGCCACGAAGAAGTCGGGTTATCGCTTGGCCACGAGCTGAGAAATATGTCGAGGGAGTCATGCTGTTACTTTAAGACTTAAGAATGTACTGGGAGGATCGCTTAGGAGCAACACCTGGGAGGATTGGGGTCCTGTTGCATTGATTTGGGCAGTGGGGGTGGAAGGCATGTTGTTGATCGGTGCAGATTCTGGCCACTTCGTGGGTGCCCTTTGCCCTTCCCATAAATTGCTTCAGCATCCAGGGTCAGTATACATAGAAGGCAGACAGGCGAACAGCGACAATGCAGTCTGATGCAGTTTTCGTGACTTGACTGCAGAATCCCATATTTGCAAGGCGAAAGAAGTGCTCGATCATTTCGCTGTGTCTCGCAAACGAGGCGGTCAACCTGCAATCACAGCGACTACTGTAGAGTTTCGCACAAAGTAGATGAGCCTGTCTCCTCCTTGGGGTTGCGGGGTATGAAAGTTATCCAAAGGGATCAAAAGGGTTTAGCCTCGACGCGCTGCTCCCCACTCTTGAGAATCTACATTGGCACGTGTCAGTTGTGGGCTGAACATGTCATCGCAGACGCCCTTCTGCTTTCATCTATGCTGGATAGTGTGCGATGATTATGCGAATCTGTTTACAGCCAAAACATACGCAGGGAGCCAGCTTCAACGGTGCAACCCTTGTCAGGGGGGTGGCAACAAATTTGACCGCCCTGGGAGTTGTCAGTTGTTACTACGCTGTACTACACGGAAAGAGGTTTCCCGCATTGCTTGGAACCACGGGACTGTGCGGTGCTCCTGTCGACAAATGCTATTTTGGCGTGCTCGTGCTCGGCTGTCATCAACAGCCGGTTAAGTGGCGTTTCAGTACTTGTATCTACCCCCAACCCCTCCTAAGCCTAAGCCCCATATGCCCTAAACCACTTCTTGTATGAACGAAATGTCCTGCGTATGTCGGGGCCCGGCCTCTGGCGGACTGCTCTCAGAAATTACGTGCTCCCTAGGTTGGTGACGTGAACTCCCCAGAAGTTTTGGGAGTGGCCCGGCTGCATTTTCGACCTGAGACGGAGCTTTGAGCTCGAAGATGCTGTGCTGCGCTCGAATGCTCCCTGCTTGGATCCACATGGCCGTCCTTCCTTCAGGTCGCCTCCCTGGTGACTCCAGTACCAGGGGGCGTCGGTCCCATGACCATTGCCACTGCCCCAGTTTAGGGTTTACCTGTAGCCGGAAAGGCTTACCCTTTTTTTCCAGGAACTCTATATAGAAACCATAATAAAGAACCCTAAAAAGGTCGGTCTTTCCGGCTACAGGTAGGGTTTAGGGAGCCCAGGCAGGAATTCCTCAAAAAGTTCTCTGAGCCGAGGCCATGCTCCTGAAGAATGTTTTGAACCTGGCACGCCAAAGTGCTGGCCTTCCTCGCGTGCCCCTGCGACGAGAGGCGGGTGGTTGGTGCCCCCTAAGCCATAGGCTCATAAACTTTAGATCCAAAACCCTAAACCTCAAACAACCCTAAACCCTCGAACTCTTAACCCTCGAGCTCCAAACGCCACACGCCCTGAACAAAGAAAAAGCCCCCCCCCCCTTCCCCCCCAGTTCCCCCCCCAGTGGTTTCCGCGCCAAACCCCCAGTGACAGGTCCCCTCGGTGGAGCCGAAGCCTCTCTGAGCCGAGGCGCGAAGCCCAGGGAGGCTCGGAGTTCTTGCGGTACCTGAAAGGCTCCCTACGTTCTAGGACTCATTGCTCTTGAGGGTTTACAGTAGGGTTTAGGGTTTAGGGTTTCGTTCTAGGACTCATCTCTCTTAAGGGTTCCTGAAAAGTAAGGGTACCTTTAGAAGGATTCCTAATTACAAGGTTTCATAGAGGGGTTCATTGCGGGTCGTAGGGTGAAGGGTGCCAGTAAAAAGCCCAGCTAAGGCTGAGTCTTGGATCCAAGAAGTGCAAGCCGGAAGCTGGACTCTGAAGATAGTACTGGTCCCTAATGTGAACCCATAGGCTCCATGGTAGTTCCTTTTTTGGGATTACCTTATGGGATCCTAAATATAAACCATGCAGATGCTTGCAGGTACTCATCTTCCCAACCGAGCGCTGTACAATTTGCTTGACCCGGCCTTCTCTTGACAAAGATGGGGAGACGTTTGACTTTAATCCTGAGAGGCACTATCACTGGCCAAGTTGGTTTCCAAGCCAGAGTTTCCAACGAGTTGTCGATTTGGTGAGATAGTGCCCTCTGCCTCTTCTCCATCTTGTGAATTTTGTCGCGCGTGCTTTCAACAGAAGGGCGCCAAAAGCATCGCTGTGCCCTGTGCTTGTCTTGCGTGTCACAGCTTCGGCACCGCTTTAAAACTGTGTCTGCATTGACAGAGCTTTCTACTTTTCTCTCCTGGGGCCAAAGCCTTTGAAGTGCAGGTTGGAAGAGCAACTATAGCACCACCGCACATGCATGTATGCGCATTTAAACATTTGTGATAGTAGAATAGGATCATGCAAATATGTATATGTACATATATATGGTTCTTTTTGAATGTCCACGCCTACATACTCTACATCCGCATGCTCGTTGCCTTGAGACTCCTCCTCTCCTTTCGCTTTCGGCACCCTTGCCCGGGCCATGGCTGGGCGGTCCTTCCCGGTCTTGGCGGCCTGTGCGTCGGGCGTGGCCATCGGTTTGGGGCTGCGACGATTGTTGGTCCGTGAGAACCAGGTGGGGCGGCTCAGTAAGGTTTGGTGAGGTTAGGGTTCAGGGGCTTTCCGTGGGAAGCAGGGCAACGGTTTAGGGAGGTTCGTAACGACGATCACGACGACAAGAACTCAGTCACTGCTTCCGCTGCTGGTGATACTGGTAATCTCTGGTAGTGGTGGTGGTAGTAGTTGACAGCAATCCAAAGGCCCCTGAGACCGGGAACGGAGGCGAAGCCAGCAATCTTCAGCCTTTGTTTGCATAGCTGACGAGGCAGAACAGCCTCAGAAGGAGGAGACGAATGTGAAGAAGGTTGAAACGAAGAACATCGACGGTAAAGCCATTGCGGCGCAGGCGACATCTGCAGGTTACTGTCAGCACAGCATCCTGTGTCTCCAAGCCGGTGTCAGACTGAAAGCTTGCTTGTGTTTTAGATACCGTTTGGTCAGAGGGTTCAGACCCATGAAGTGCTTGGAGAAGCTCATGCAGCAGTCTGCATCACCTTCGCAAGAGTGTTTGTGAGAAGGGCTGGACAGGTCCGTGCTGAAGTCAAAGAGTACGCAGCCTTGGTCTTAGCGTGGGCACGGCCACAGCCTTCTTCTGACATGGGAGGATGTATGTTGAGTGGGTGGACGCGCAGGGCTCTCCTCTTGCCTTCCTGACCTGTGGGCTCACAAAGACAACAGAGCAAGCAATCACAAAGCAAGACACAAGAAAACTCGATCCGATGATCCGAGGCTCAGCTCAAAGCTGAGTGCGGTGTGACTCCTGGCCTAGCCGTCGTCTTGGTCGGCTCCCGAAAGGACTCACAGTCCTATGTGCCACGGCAAAATGCTACGCTTGCTGCGTGCCGTCCTTGCCACCATCACTGCTGGCACGACTTGCAGTACCTTCAGTGGCCTACTAAAATTGTGACTACTGGTAAAATCATGACAACCTTCAGCGCGATTCTGCTAGTGTTGTCAAGTTGGTGTGACTTATATTCGAATGCTACTGCCAATGACATTATTGAATATAGCTACTTCTTGTGCTATCGTGAACTCAGCATTACCTCAATTCTTGACTCTTGACCTTCGTGTCATCATCATCGTCACAGCATCATCATCATCATCATCCTTGCTATTATCATACTACAGGGACGACTGCAGCTGCTGCTCCGGCTCCTCCTCCTCCTCCTCCTCCTACTACTACTACTACTACCACCACCACTTCTACTTCTACTTCCTCCTCCGCCAGCTCCTCCTCCTCCTCATGTGTGTATACACACAGCTGCATTTGTATGTGCCATCGAGGTGCGCAACAAGAAGAAGGCTGCTGACGAGGCCGAGTCTCTGCATCTACACACGGCAGGTAGAATGCTCAGCTCATATCATGAAACACACCTCTCGTTATAGAATTCGTTCCCAAAGCGAAACCAGAAACGAACCCCCATGTTTTTGCAGAGGCAAGGCCGCCGAAGGGAAATAGCATCCAATTGCACATGCCCACTGAAGCTGTGTTCGAACCTCTGCAAGCGAATGGGCCATGAAGGTTGGCTTCCACACAGTGGACGTAACGCTTCCGGAGACTGTCACCCAAGAGGAGTCCGCCTGGCTGTTCGGAGATCTTTCAGTTTTTTTGTTCTGAGCCGAGCATTGCTACTCAAAGCTGCGAAGGATCTACTGCTCGAGGTGCAGAAGTTGAATGACGATCCGAAGGCCTTGGGAGATCTTTGCTTGGATGTGGCATTGATAAAGTCGTTTTTTCAATGCTCTTACTATCAGTTCCGCTTCACTTTGGTCCGTTGGAAGGTGCACGCGATCTTGGTGCAACTGCCCTTGCCCTCTCATATCGATGAAGCGCTCATTCTGAGCAAAATCCGTGTTGACAAGGTGGGCCTGACGAGCGATTGCTTAGTAGGTCAACAACAGGAGATCAAGCAAGTGATATTGCTGCGGGGTTGTGGTAGTTCTTGTTATTCTTCTTGTTTTTGTCGCTGTGCTTCTGCTGCTTTCGCTATCAATGTGACCAGCTGCTACCAGCGCTAGAATTGCTGTTGTTTCTTTTAGCTGCAGGGTTAAGCTTATTCGTTCTGTTTGGCTCCTTGTCTTCCTCCCCTTTCGATCAAGACTTGATTGGCTGTGTTTGCCGTTTTTTTCCTCCCTATCGCCTTGGCATTCTGTGTTCGAGCAGTCGCCTGTGGCCAGGATGCGGACGGCTTCTCTGCCGAGAACGTGACCTGAGCTGCACAGGTTTTTCTCTACTCTTGCAGGGCCGTGATTTCTAATGTCCAGCAAAGTATAACTAAGTCTATTCCCTTGAGAGTCAGGTTTTAACTGCTAATTCCTATAGTAATTGTTGGCACTGCTGTTATTTTGACTGGCCCTATCGATTCGACAGTGTTCTTCTTGCGTTGCTGTTGTGATGGTGGCCTGATTTCCGAGGTTGGCAACCTTTGCTTGCGGGGCGGGGCACCTCCTCTGGCGGCTACTTGGCATCCCATCTTGGGCTCCGCAAGCGAAGTAAAAAATGGAAGCCTACAAGCTTCATCTTCACCATCCGTGTCAGCCACCGCAGGGACGTTGTTTGCAGGCTTGCTTGCACTCTTTCGTTTCACGAAGTCCCAAGAAGCTCTAAGTCCAGTCCGCGAATCGCCGGCTTCGGCTCAGCCGCTCCAGAGCGGGGCGACTAAACTGCCTCGAGCCATGAAGGATGACTTCCACAGCCTGCGAACTGCAGCACGACCAACAGCAGTCAAGAACGCCAAGGAGGCGAAGATCACACAGACGACCGAGGACGGCCAGACCCTGCTGTTTGCAGCGGCGGGTCGTCCGCCAAGCAAGGGCAAGTCGGTCGATGTTTGCATGATCTTGGCTGAACGGGGCTTAAGCTGCACGCACAAAACTTCCAAAAATGAGAACGCACTCTTTGAAGCTGTCCCCTTTATATATTGCTTTCTACGAGTC